ATCCTGTACTTCATGTAGATTTTATACATTTAAAACATTTTAATTTTTGATATTTTATATTATCAAATAAGAGATTGAAATAGGTGATGRAAAAAACAGTGAAATTCAGAAAAATATTCTGAGATCAGTGAGTGGATGTGAACTCACGTGTTCATCATCTTTCCCTGTTCTTTCCAGTGGCTTCCCTTTATGTGAATCTCTGGTGTAATGTGACCCGGGGGGCTTCAGGTATTGTTCGTGCCCACTCCAGCAGCAACAGTGTCTACAAGCTGCGCAGTGTGTACACACTACACACACACACTGGTTTACACACCACATCCACAGCTGGAAAAAGAAAATGCATTTTTATTATGGTGATGACTTTTGTGTTGCTTTGCTATTTAAAAGTGAAATGTAAAACTGTCCATACATATTATTATGACTTTAAAGTGACATTTCAAATCTTGTGARCAGGCATTAGAAAGGATATTTGGTTACTTGTTGTAAATAATCTTTTTAACCACCCCAGTTTGGAGAAATTAAGTTTAAATCTGACAGAACTGATGAGAACTCTGATGTTATAAACAAATCCAACTTCAAACAAAACCTGAAGCAGTTCATGCTAACATGATTTTACAAATCAACCGAGCAGTTTCACATTACACAAATGTTTTGAGACYGGAGATGTTTTAAGATACAAACCCTCTTGTTTAGACTGGCCATCAGCTCACCAGCCCATTCAGATTTAAACCCTTTCTTTAAACGGAGGAAATGAGAATTATCTACACCAGGTAACATATTAACTCTTCAGGTCCTTTACACAGAATGCCATTTTAAAGCATCTGAAATGTCCCTTTAACCTCACTGTAACACTAAAAATTCTGATGAAAACTTTTACAAGCAAGACTTTTCTTAGAAGTTATCAGGAAATATAAATTCTTGTCACTGAAAGTGTCTAATCCTGCAGAAATCCTCAGATATGTGAAAAGAAAACAACAAAAAGTTGGTGCTTATAAACTCGTATTTATTACAGAACAGTCCTGGTTTATCCAGTCAAACATCCAGCACGTGGTTCAGGTAGGAGATGTAACAAATAGCCAGTCTCAGGATTTCAATCTTGGACAACTTCTTGTCAGGTGGCAGCGTGGGGAGAAGTTTTCTCAGCTCCGCAAAGGCCTCGTTGAAGGTCATGACCCGGACCCGCTCCCTGGAGGCATGCGCGGATCGATACCTGGCCGTGGCGCGCCTCCTGCGCCTTCTCTCCTCCCGGGAGCGCGCTCTGTCCTCTCTGCTGCGCACGAGCTCGGCTGACATGGACCCACGGGCACGAGGACAGGTGTCCGTGTCCTTCTGTCCCAGGTGGACAGATTCCTGTTAGTGGGAGGAGAAACGGTTTTAGTTTTATGACATGACCTTCTCTGGTTGTCTGTTTGTTGATAGTTTCTTTTGTGAAAGACTTGTGGCGCCCCCTGGCGGTGATGCACAGCCTTACRACAGAAACAAACGCTATCCGAGGTGCTGAAAGAAAACAGGTAGAAACAAACCAAAATAAAGGTTTTACATTCATGGAAGGAATGCATATAATYTGCCACCTTTCATGCAAGAGTTTCAGAATATTACTTTGAGAACGACTGTAGATAAAAACATTATGTTTGATGTCACCAGATTACATGTTGTGAGTAATCCTCAACAGCAACCACAGCAAATTTATAACCCCAATTCCAAAGGACATTGTATAAAAAATTTAAATAAAAAAAGAATGTGATGATCGTTTTCAACCTATGAATGCACAACAAAGACAAGATATGTGATGTTCAAATGGATAAAGGTTATTGTTTTTTTTTAATATTCACTCCTTTTGAATTTGATACCTGAGACACATGTTTACCATCATTACATCACTTTACCAGCACCCACTCAGTGTTAGGGAACTGAGGACATTAATAGTTGAAGCTTTGTAGGGGTTAGGGTTAATCTTCTATCATTCTTGCTTGATGCACAACTTCATTTGCTCAACTGTCCTGGTTCTCCATTGTTATATTTTGCACTTCATAATGTCCCACGCCTTTTCAATGGGAGACAGGTCTGCTGCAGGTCRGTCTGGTACCTGCACTCTTTTACTGTGAAGCCAAAGTGATGTAGCACATGCAGAATGTGGCTTGGTACTGTCTTGCTGAAATAAGCAGGGAAGTTCTCTGATGGTATGACCCCCCATACCATCAGAGATGCTGGCTTTTAACCTTTACACTACTAACAATGTGGACAGTCTTTTTCCTCTTTGGCCCAGAGGACACAACATCCGTGATTTCCCAAAACAATTTGAAATGTGGACTTGTCAGACCACAAGACTCCTTTGTGACATTTCATCTCAGAAAATCTGATATAGTTTCTGTGTGGTGTTGATACTGTATATGGCTTTGACTTTAACTTGCTCTTGTAGATGTAGTGACAAACTGTGTTCTCTGACAATGATTTTCTGAAGTGTTCCTGAGCCCATGTGCTAATATCCTTTACAGAATTATGTTTTAAATGCAGCCTGAGGCATGGAAGGTCATGGGCATTCTGTGCTGGTTTYCAGCCTTGCTGCTTAATTGCAGAGATTTGTCCAGATTCATTGAATCGTTTGATGATATCATGGACTGTAGATTATAAAATACCTAAATTCCTTGCAATTGCGTCTTGACAAATGTTGATCTTAAAGTGTTGGACAGTTTGCTCACACAGTTGTTCACAACGTGGTGAACCTCGTCTTATTGCTTGTGAAGGACTGAGACTTTCAGGGATGCTCTTTTTATACTCAGTTATC